GGAGACTCGCCTCCTTAAACCAACCCCGCGACGGTCAAACCGCAGGCTTGCAGCGAGGCTGGCAGGAATAAAAAGCCTTGGGGCGAGCGGAGGGAGATGCGGTCCCCCCGCTCCCTGGGAGGGAGGAGAAAGCCCGCCCGTCCGGGCTGAGCGGCCCCGGCCTCCGCCGTTCCATAGGCACCGCGCGTTTCCCGGCATCTTCCAGCTAGTCTCAGTCCTGCTTGCTTCCCCCCCCCCTTCGCATTCATCGTAAAACGTGGCGAGGCCGGACACTGCCACTTGTAGTTACTATACGGGGCTCCTCGGGGGGCGAGGCGTTAAAAATGGACCCATATGCCTTACTTCAGCGAGTAATTCCCGCAAGAAGTGGATCGCTTTCATTGTTCCTACTGAGCAGAAAACACACCAATAATTAACAGGTTAATCCTAACTGAGATTATTTAAATCCAGGAATATTTTTAGGACATTGCCCTTTGGGGAAATAAAGGGAGTGTGCTAACAGTGAAAAGTATGTGTTTATATTTGGAGTAACAACAATACAGAAATTAAAGAGAATTAAGAAAGACATCAAAAGTCTCCATCCCATTTCTGTTATTAACTCCTCCATTTCACATCACTGCGCAGCATTTCTGAGCGTAAGCAGTCCAAGTTTTAAAATGTTCTTCCTTTTGAAGACCTGACTTTTAAAATGGATGGAATTCTGAGCCTTTCTATTCAAACTAACCAATCTAGCTAACAGGTAAAGTGCTGCACAAAGGATAATTGTGCTCCATTTATAAATATCGTTTGCTTAAGCAGCCCCCAAGAAGGCCAAAATATTTAAACATTCAGTCCCGGTGATGTGCTACTGTTGTTCTCAATGCATGCATGATGTCCTGGGACTAAAGGATGAGGTTTTAATTTTAAACAAGTTTTTAAAAGGTTGTTTGGCTTAAAAATGTCCTATGTGATTTGAACACACTGAAAGGAAAAAATGACTTAAAACTTTTCTTCTGAAATTGGAATATTATTCCCAGCTTCCAAAATAAATGGAAAGTTATATTTTGTTACTGCATAGGGAGTGTGCTTTTAAAATAGCGTTATTTTTTTGAATGTTTTCAGATGCAATTTGCATTATTTTGAATGAGCTTACTGAGTATAGACCGAGTAGTTGCATAGATTTGATTAGTTAAGGAAGATGTCCATTATGGTTGTGGTTTGGGAATGTAGAGAACCATTCCAACAGGAAAGGCAATAAAAACACTCTGATAAAATCAGATCACCCACCCTTTGTTACAGTATCCTAGATCTCAACAGTCTTAATAGGAAGATTTTCTTTTTAAGTGCTTGTTAACTTACTGTTCAGTTAATTTCTCTAAGTTATCCACCACTTAATTTTGAATATAAGTATATAAATTACTATTTCTGCTTTGGTTATCTGTGAGCTGAAAGATATTCATGTATAGTTCTATGTTTTGCATGAAATCCGAAGAGGTCAAATTAGTTTACAAAGCAGATTGTTTATTTCTCCAATAGTAAATCTTCTTTTGTTTTTTAACTTTCGTAAAACTAATTGTGAATCCGCATCAAGGCTCTTAAAATCAAACCCAAATCTTTCCAACATTGTAAATTATGGACAAGTGTACTCTGGGAAGATAATACTTTTGCAATGAATTCTGATAAACAGTAAAGCATCAACATATTGCTCAATTTAGAATCTTAGGTTGGCTATCAAAAATAAATAAATTCTACTTGAGTTAATTATTTTCTCCCTTGGTTTTTCATTATAAAATAATTCACCTTTTAAAAGCCAGAAAAAGATGAACAGAACGGCACATGCAGCAAGTATGATACCATCTCTGCACCACACAGAGAAGAATACATTAAGCTTTGCTCCATAGGCAAGGTTTTGACATCAAAGATCTACAAGAATGAAGATGACATGTCATTCCCCCATTCTACTTTCAGATATCAAGGCAAAGGAAGGGTTAACTTTAGAAAAATTAATTATACACAATCCCAGAACAATAGTAGTTGGGAGAGGGGAGGAGGGATGAATTGAATAGTGCTGGAAGCCTGTTAGATGCAGTGAGGAAAACTCCCATTGAGTACAGCATGGCCAGCATTTCACCCAAAGTGTGGATTTCCATAGTGCAGGGCCAATACACCAGGTATACCCAAAGTTAATTTTACGATGAAGCAAACATGTTACAACTGACACCTGTATTTCCTAAGTTACATCCAAAAGAGCTGCTCTACAAGAAAATCTCCCAAACTAGTTTCTTGTGAAAGAGAACTTTAAGAATTTAGATTGCTTACTTGCCAGATTTCTCTGCTTTGGAATAAAATAAGGACTTTATTAGAAGTAATAAAGTTTTCAGCTTTCATGAATGGGAATGTGGCCCCTTTTCCAAAAAATGAAATGACCTCAAGCCAAAGCTGTTTCCATGAAATGAAGATCCATGATATAGACAGATTTTTTAGTTCTGGCAATTTAGGATTTCTGTGTGCTGGATGAAATCATGTCAGAGAATTTAAGTATCTTACAGGAATTTTAGTTTAATTAATTTAATCTTTTCTTCCCAACAGCTCAACATTCTCTACTTTGGAGGCTCTTTCTTTTCCTTTTGTCGATAAAGATGAGAAAAAAGTGGATATTGGAAGATCTTAATTTTATCTTTTTTGGTGTGCTCTGTCTCCTTTTCATAGATGGAGGTAAACTAGAACAAGTAAAACGTAAGTAGACTTCAAACAAAGCTGTCACATTCATCCAAATTTGATATTTTCCTTCTATTTGACAGATGTGGTTCAGGAAAGATCTTCAAACACGAATGTCCTAAACTGTGGAACTGCGTTTAAAACCTTCTAACATTCTTCCTCCTTCTAATCCCACATTTAGTAGAATCAGGTCACACCCATGTTCGGGGCACATTTTCCTAAAGCTGTACAGGTTTCATTGCATCATAAAGAACATAACACATCAATTGGAGAATCTGTTTTGTTTCAAATATCCTGAATCAAGAGAGTGCTTAATTCCATTTTAGTGACTTCTGTAAACATCTGACGGATTATCTGGATTTTGTCCCATGTGTAATACTATTGTACTGAAGTTTTCAGCTAGTGTAAAGCTCGTCCAAGACTGTCCTGTTGTGTTCCAAAAACAACCCCATATGAACAGGATTAGCTACATCCTTTGAGAAAATTAAGAGTCTAAGCACTGTCAAAAACTTGATGAGAAGAACTGAAAAGAATACAAACAAAATAAAGGGAGTATTTCTACAAAGCCTGTCATCCGTGGGAGATGTTAACACATTTCAGAAAGCATGGCGAGGAGGAATAATTACCCAAATAAATCTAGGAGTCATTGACTGCTACAGCCTCGTTACTAGCTCTCTGGAATGCTCTCCCCACCTGCATATGCTGGGTTTTGGCCACCTTCTTACAAAAGACATTGTTTGCCCTTGAGAAGTAGTTAAAATTTTCAGCCTCAGTATCAGCAGCTTCTGCTTCTATGGAAGTAGATTTAAAAAAAAAAAGAAAAAAAAGAGAAGAAAAGAAAAAAAAAAAAAAAGAGAGGGAGTTCCAAAAAGGCTACCTTCTCCGCTGAACTTACTCACAAGAAAACAATGTGCAGGTATTCCTGTTCAAAGAAAGCACAGTGTGAGAAATTACCAAACTCCAGTTCAGCTGTCTACTTTTTCTGATCCTGCATTTCATTTGTCATGCTTTTGTGTAAAGTGAAAGCGGATCACTTCACTGTTGCTACTAATAATCCCTACCTCTTGCTACCTTCTTTTAGCCCAGTAAGTGTGAAGAATGTCCCTTGCTTGGATTATCACTTGGAAGACAGGTATTTTGTTTTATACCCTGGAGTATCATCTATACCGAGGGTAATGAATTAAGCGGAATTTGGACATCATTAAGATTACAGGAAGGAATTCTCTCATGGAAACACATGAGAAACACCCTTTTATTGAAGAGATTTGAGTTTTCAGTGTGAAACCATAATGTGACAGGGAGAGACAGGGCAGTAATGTCTGATAGGTAGATGGCTATCTGCAAAACTGCACTTGCAAGATTAGCAGTGCTTAATGAATAGAAAGATCTTAAAATATTTTAAATGCTGATGCATATGTAAGTCAGCACAAGTTGTTCTGAAATACTAGGACAAACTTTTATTATGTTGTTAAAATATGGAGATACTGAACATGCAGTGTAAATACAGCGTGTTTATCTTCCTTTTGCAGACCGCTTGTTCAAAATCTCTCTGCTGTACAACCTGGGATTTTCCCGAATCAAGCCAATTGCTTTGGTTTTGCAGTGAAAAGGTTTTGTAAACTTGTCTGAGCAATCAAGCACTTTAATTTTGTTACCTAAACAGGATCTTAGCCTGTGTTTTTGCAGGTGAAAGGATAAACTCACCCTGTATGAAAGCCATTTTGTCAGCTATTTCAGGAACTGCAATTTTGGAAAGATGGGAAGCCATGTCATTTATTTTGGTTTGGGACGTTAGAAACAATAGCACATGAAATTAAGGGTATTTCCGTTGTGTGATTCTCCAGTGAAAGAAAAAATTGTAATTCTTTACAAAATTTTATGTACCATCCACAAACATAGTTTACAGAGAACACTGCACACCTAAAACCACTTTGTAAATATGGAATGCGAACATTCATTCATATCTCTTTCAATTCTTTACTGTTTTACAGATTCAGATACATACTGTGTGTTTCAAGATAAGAAGTATCGTGTAGGAGAAAGATGGCATCCTTACCTAGAACCCTATGGCCTTGTTTACTGCGTTAATTGTCTCTGCTCAGAGGTAGGACTGCTGAGTTATTGATCCTACAACTTCTACATGCTTAATTGACTGGAATCCTTTATGTTGTATCTACAATTTGACAAAGCCCAAACCTGTTTTCACTAGTGGGTCCTGATCATGCTGCAGGAAATGGAGGCAGGTGATCCTAGTGAAGGGAAAACATTAACAGAGAAGGCCAATACTAGCAAAAAATACTTGCATGGTGTAGACAAAACAGCTCCTTAACTAGCCAGAAGCTTTGTCAATGCTGAGTATTACATCTTGAATAATTGGACCCCACTACCTAAATATAATCCTTGCAGTTCCATCAATATGGAGGATTATGCTGAACCTGAATTTGGTAGTGTTTTGATCTATGTACAATGTCCGCATCTTCAGAGGAATTTCCACAGTCAAAGCATCTGCTGCCCTAAAGTGCTGAAGGAACAGGCTTGGATATCACTGTTTGTAAAAATGTATGAAAGAAGAATGAGATGATGAAAAATGAGAAAAGTGTATGGAGAACAGAGAGAATTGGGTAGGACGTGAAAGGAGAGGTCCTTGGCTACCATCAGTTAATGCCTGGTAGGAAGATACAGCAGTCATAGATCCCCTAAGTATGTCAAATGCAGCTGCGGGGGGTCAGGAAAATGAGGGCAAAATATGTCCCTTGGAGTACTTCAAAATGACTAAAGAATAAGGGATCTTGATCACTAACACATGAGGCACTCCAGATGCTGAGTTTTGTCTGCTGTATTTAATGCAGAATAAAGTTTTCTTGGCTATTTCCCCCCCGCAAGTGTAAAATATTGGGCCCCCATGCAGCACTTGTTCTGAGGGATCCGCTACTACAATTTAGTGCAGAGATGCACAAACAGTAGTCCCACAAGCTTGGCTTTACCTCAGATGTGTGCAGCAGAATGCATCTGTAAGAGGAAAAAGCAATGTAGTAGGAAGAAAAGTCCCTGATTATAGCAAAAAGGAGTTTCCACTCACTTTTGCTGATCTATATGCAAAGTTGAAAACGCCCTCAGAGTCCATGTGTGGTAAAACACTCTAAATTGCTGGAAGGCTGTCTTGGGTGGGGATGAAATTCACTGGAAACCCTAGAGATCTGGATACAAATCATGGCTCAATGATTTTTAGGAAGATGTTAGACAGTCTGGGGGGATGGGAAAGTGCATGGAATGCTCCCCTAGAGAACAGCACTGCTGTGATCCAGGCATACCCACGCACTGTGAGGCTCCAACAAATGAGTATATTTTATTTCTTTCCCTCGCACATGGGCATGGAAGAACAGAGTGGCAGTTTAGGGCAACAAGGTTAATAAAGAAGGAAACTGTGCTAATTATCAGTACATGCAGCTCAGAAGTGGTTCTGGACTCTACTTCCTTGTTTGCTCTGTTTTACCTTTGTTGTACTCTGAGGGCGCAAAATGTAACTTGGGGTTATTTCAGCAGTGAGGATGCTGAGGGATCTCTGGGATGTGACTCTTGTTGCCTGGAAGGAGGACTCCAAATAACTGCAGCATCCAGCCATTCATTTGAGCTTTGTCCTGTCCAAAAGAAATGTCCTCAGAACACTGACCCACAGTAAAAGCTCCAGAGCATCAGGAAACTCTCAATAATTTATAATTTTTAACAACATTAAGGCTAGATAAAGCATTAGAAAACATGCCATGACATAGCACAAGCACAGACCTTAAACCAAATATTGCAGCATAAAAAGTGAAACTAAAGTGTGCTACTGACAGCAAATAAGAGAGACCTAAGTGTAACCCACCCATGATTCCCTGGCAGTAAATCAGTTAGGCAAAGGGTATGTACAGAGTGTGAAGCAGCAACCTACTCCCTCACACTGCAGAGAAAAGCAAAAAAAATCCCCAGGAATCTTCATCTCCAGTGTGGCCAAGATTTCTTTGCTGGCCTCAAACATCATGATCCATATGATCTCTGCACAAAACAAGTCATATCAGCCAGGCAACAGACCAAGATCTCTGATCCATCTCTAAACAACAGTCTGCCTGTCCATCCCCCCTAATGCATACGCTTCTGATCTTTAAGAAAAAGGCGAGACAAATTAACTAACTAAACAGAGGCCAAATTATTCAGCCAGGGATTAAAAAAAAAAAAAGCCTTCCCGTTTTTGTGTGTATGTAGTATTGTATTTTTACAAGTTATAATTACATACTTAAACCAGAATAAAACTAAACATAATTTAGTGTTCTCACCCTGTTCCCCCTTTCTTTTACACCCCCCCCTCAGTACACAGTGGAGACTGTTGACTGTTACTGTCAGGTAAATTGGAGCACTCACAATTTGTCAGATCATTATTTTACTCTCTAAAATACAGCAGCTTTTTGCTTGTGTTCATAGTCAGGGGCTAAAGTGAATGCTCTCCACCCTTAGCACTGATAACACAGCTTGGGAAGAGGGATGCATTGTTACTCTTTGAGTATCTGATGCAGAAATGCTAACTGTGGCCCTGGCTCACAGAAGCCTACAGGAGCTTAAGTCCTATTCTAGTCAGTAGGGCTTGGTCTCCCAAATGTCACTGTGAATCTAAGCATAAGATCAGTCTTAGCAATAACAAGATCAGTTAGAATAGTTCTGTCCTGCTGCAAACAGTGGAGTACTGCAGGCAGCACTGAGGAGTGAAGCAGGCCTGCAGAATTTTTATCACAGCTGATCATGCACAGAAAGTAAACATTCACCTCGGGAGATTTCACAGGACTAATAATTAAAAAGGGAGTGAGGCCATGGAACAGGACAAGTAAGCAACATGGATGGAGCCAGGCCAGCAGACAGTGCCAGCCTTTCTTCTACAGTAGTGCTTTACAGGCTCTCAGCTGATGGTCTACTGGGCAAGGAGCTGTGCAGACCAGTGATAGTCCCCATCCCACAAAGAGTCTACAGCCTAAAATTTGCTCCTCCTCTATAAAATCAGTATATTTAATTTCAATCATCATTGGAACCAGATGGTGATACCATTTTTAGTGTCTCTTTCTAAAGCAGATGCACAAATGTAGTTTGTGGGTAGTAGTGATCTAACAGTATGATTCCAGCCTGTGGTCTGCAGATATTTAGGAGTCAATGGACTATTTTGAAAGAGATGGCTAGAAAAGCCTATACATATGCTATCTAAGGAAGTCTGCGCCTCCACTGGAAACATTGCAGTGCTCCAGAAGGCATATGAAAGTGATGTGGGTTTATTCCTGACACCACCTAAAACTACAGTCATGGCATAGTATCAGTGTTCATGCTAAAAGATCGTTCTTGCTATAAACACGAGCAACTCAGAGCTAAATTAGGAGGATGAATTATAGATGGGAAATGGGAATTTGAAATGGATGGTCTTTTCTGGTTACAGACACTGGAGAATGAAAATTCCCTGTTTTAATTATAAATCAAACTTAGATGTGGTCAAATAGAATATTATGTTAACGACATGAATAATGAACACTATTCCCAAGACTTGCTCATATTCCTTAGAAAAATGGCTACTTACCAACTAGTGTTTTTTGTCTACTGGGGAACCCATAAAATGAAAACAAAAGATTCTCCACAGTTTTCAGGAACAATTGCAGATGCTATTGTCTCTTGCGGTCTTGAACTAACCCTCAGTAGGGGATATCTCAGAGACCTACCATTCATTATCTGTGTCTTAGTTTTGGAAATGCAATTCCTAAGCATAATCTGCTCAAAAGAAAAACACAAATGAAGATTGTTGCAATCCATTTTTAGGCACTTCCTCTGATTTTAAGGTTTGTATGGATTTCTGCTGCATTCTGACCTCCAGCATAAATTCAGAGGCAGTGAAAGTAGTCTGGGCTTACCCTGGTGTGAGTGAAATCAGAATGTTGTAAAAAGGCTTTTTTTTTTTTTTTTTTTTAAATAAGAACACAGAAATTTGTAAGACAGCCCATTTCATTAAAGTATTGTATTATGTTCCACTTGCAGAATGGAAATGTACTGTGCAGCAGAATAAGATGCCCAAGTCTACACTGTCCTTCCCCTGTGCATGTACCACAGCTGTGCTGCCCACGATGCCCAGGTAATTCCTACTAATGACATACAGTCCTTTCTGAAATAGTTATTTAATACACTGAGTAACAGCAAAATTAAATGTCTGTGCTAGGAAACTTCTGTGAAGTAAACATCCTTCTATATCCATATAGGTTATGAGACACTTGTCCTACAGTAAGTTACAGTATTTCCTATAGTTCCTATATATTCCTTTTTAGGAAATCAGAAGTATAAATTTGGGAAGGGATCAGGTAAGCTACCAAGTCCAGTCCCCTACAATCCAGGCAGAAGGTTAGCAGAAGTTTCACTGATGGGGTCTGTGGACCATCCGCTCCGCAATCCTTCCCTTATCTCTAAACTCTATCACAATAAAACCCCATCCCACAAACTTCCTAGGTTTCTGCTTTTGGTGCTTTTCATAAGAGCAGGCTAAAATACATTGTTATTTGCAATGGTTCTCTGTTAACAAGCAATTCAAAATTGCTGTGGCAAATGTGCATTTCTATAGTATCACTGCACAACCAGTCTGGTAACATTTGCCTTTTATATCTCAAATCCAGGCATAGCTTCATAATTAGTAGAGACTGTTGTAAATCATAGAAGCAGTGCTGTAGAAGTTTATGACTATATAAATCCAATTGGATACTGTATAGTAAATTCCTCCAGACTGTACATTTATTATATGCTCATTATTAAGAGCCACTGTATGAAAGAGACTAAGCAGGATCTTTCACGAGGCTGTTACAACATTCCCGACATGGCCTAATGGCTGGTAGATTTGACTGGAGCTTTTCCCTAAATGTCTGTCTTAGTGGCACCCCTCATTTCCACTTATAAAAGAGTATTCATGCAGCATCATAGAAAGGGTTTTTATTTTACTTTCTCTAGAGAGTTTCATTGTCTGAGGAAAACAGCTGTTCCCTGACCAAAACCTGTGAGCAGGACGCAATATGCAATGGTGGAGGGACATGAGTGCACAAGCAGTTTGCTGTTCAGCTGGCATTGGAGTGTGTTCATTGCACTTACTGGAGAATAAATGGCACCCACATGTCAATTTTTGGTAGGATTCACCTGTCCTGACAATCATATACATCTGTCTATCAGACGTGTATATCAATATGTGATCCAGGTATCTAGAATCCTTTTTTGGAGTGATGAAGAAGAAGCGTTTCAAGTGCGTAACTCATCTGATGCCATGATGCCACTCTTCTTGTGTCCCAGGATGAGATTCATCCCATTCAACTTTAGATCCAACACTTTGGCATCTAGTTGATGGTAGAGTTTTATCTAGGATGGTCTAATACAAGGAAAGGAAGTTTGTAAGGTAGTATGCTTTATTTGACCAACTAGTACTGTTAGATTAAGTGGCAAGATGCTGGGCACATGAACCCCTTTTCTGTTTTCAGATCAAAAGGAGGACTGGTGTGCCGGTGTGCCCAAAACCTGGTCTATTTTTCCAGCTAATCTAAACTTCAGTTGGCAAGGGAATCATCTAGATACCCTTTATAGCTGTTGGAAACATGCTGTCCCCAGAGGGTGATTCATCCTGTTAGCCAGAATGAGAAGAATTTTTCCCTGGGGATGCCTGCCTCTCTCCACTGATTATTGAGGGAGCACAGGCAAATAGCTTACGTTAGATGCTTACTTTTTTGACAGCTTAAGTTAAATCACAAAAATCCCACTCTGAGTATGTAATTGGCATTTGGGGTCAGGAACTTTTTTTTTTTTTTTTTTAATATCTCTGTACAGTATTTAGTACAGAAACATAAAAATGCTTCTAGATTGACTGGTTTTGCTTCAAGTGCTCTTTGGCAGTGAACTGTTTGGCTTTTTTCTGTTCGTGAGGCTGTAAATGTTGTGACACCTACCAAGATTTTAAAACATTCTACAGTGACCTAGTAAGGAAGATGAAGGGCCCCTGTAAACTCTCAAGTCCTTATTACCAAATTAAGTTTTTGCTATTCACAGCCTTCAGCTAGAATTTTGTACTGTGTGTTTAAACTGATAAATCCAGAAAATTATCAGAATGAGCCTTTCCTGAATTGTGATCCATTATCTTCTCTTAACTGCTCCTAGAGTCTATCTATAGTCTATTTTCTACATACGGTGGGCCATTAAATTGCTAGCTGGGCAGCATCTCATTAAAAATGAGAGTCCCACAAAGGTTTATGTTAGGCAAAAGAGGACCAGGAATCTACTGTGATTTCAGGGGTTAGTTGCATTCTGCTTTCTCCAGTGATTATGCACATTGTATTTGGTGCTCTATCTTCAGTGGTAATGTTTATGCCTGATCTGAATAGGAATCTCAAGCATTCTTGCACATTTTATGCCAGCTTTCCATTCCTATGTGTATGGCATACAATGTCTTTTATGCAGCATCCCATGATATGCAGGAAATTCACTTCTCTGGTTTCCCTGGTTATTTTTTAATGGAACGTGCCAGAGCTCTGGCCATCAGCCATCCATTCGAATTACTCTCATAAATGCTCATTATATTCTGTCACGTATGTTTCCCCTCAGTTTCTCAAGCTGCATTTCAGAAATGAGTAGTGCTAGTCACAGTGACTTTGGGCTCTTCCTCCTGCCTTTCTGCAGGCCTTGTAGAGTGTAACTGCCCAAATAACTGCCTCCTTATTTAATGAAGCAGAGGTAATGCCAGGAGGCAGCAACTTTCATTGGAAACTGAACTTCATAACTACCTAAGTGGAGGAGCTGTTGAAGGGATTCCTTTGAGAAAAGTTGGCACTGCTCTCCCCTTGGAATTAATGTCTCCTGCATCCATAGTGACACTGGACTTGCTGACACAAAGAGATGCAGTGTTTGTATCCTGTCTCCCTGGCACCAGCCACCATGAATCTTAAGTAGTTGTCAGACATATGTTATGAAGCATCTTCTACTTTTCACCAGTGGTTCAATCCTACCAGCTTCTATCACAGATTCACTGCTTTTTTTTTTTTTTTTTTTTGAAACCCATTCTTTCTAGCATTGGCAAAATCCAGACCTTGTGTTTTACACAGAACTAGATATTCCTCCCTTTTGCAGCTCTGAAAAGTATTTTACTATCTGAATTAGATTCTTGTCATTACACATATGTGATCAAAAATAGTAGGTTCACATTCATTGGGACTCTTTTTACACATTAGTGAGACCCAAAAGGACATCACATGCTTCCAAGCTTGAATTCTGTCCCTCCACCTCAGGATGCTCCAGGCATTGTCAGAGGAGAGGTGATTTATAGAGTCAGGGAGAGAATTCACCATGATTCTCAGAGCTGGAGCGGTTCTTGAGCTTGAGTGGACTTCAGACCTCCTGCCTCCTGTCATAAAAATAAACTTCATGTACAAGTTCTTCAAGCATTTAGCTGCAGCTGTCTTTTATGGCACTACTATGGACAGTGCCTTTAAAAATGGAACATTTATTGTAGATCGTATCATTTCTACGTGGAATGATTGCAAATCAAAGCATTTAGAGTCTAGTTAAAGATCCAAAATTTTTGAGTACACTCTGGAATATGTAAATCTAAGATGGGGGAAGCTTACATCAGAAGCAAAAACGCACAATTGCAGGATTTAAAAGGGGTTTCCATATTCCACTTGCCGGTTTGATTTCTCAGCAGATAAGGCTGCACACTGATGTATGAATCAGCCCATCTGGCTCTAGTATTTTTAAGCTTGCAGCCCTGACTAAATACACTGGTTTCCAAGAACGTTCATGATTAGTAACACATTTAAGTTTAAGCTCCTTTGGTACTATGATTTTTCTGTATCAAATTCAAACCACTTTTCTGATGTACTTTTCATTGTTCTTTAGATATTGAAATAACAACAAAATGCCAAGTGGTACCTATATACATAGGTGGACTAAATACAAAGATGGACCAGATCAGTTATCTGACAATAGTGGTCTGAGAATATCACCTAAAAATAAATGAGGCTGTGTCTGCGCAATAGACTGCAGCATGACTTAGTAATACCTGTGTCTTTGAACTAGCTATTTTGGATCCTGGAAGCAGCCTAGTTAGGACAGTGCAGAACTCACTGCACTGCAAAACTCTCTTAAGAAGCAGGAAAAATACACCTGCAATGAGCTCAGTGCTACCTTTTCTCAATTTCTTCCAGTAACTGAGCTAGTCCAGGTAACACACTGCACTCTGTAGTGTAGATATTCTTAAAGACTCAGCCTTGCAAGGTGCCGAGTATGTACAGCACCTGTTGACCTGATACACATTGTATATATAAACACAGAAGCATGTGTATAATACAATGCATCTTGCACTGAATTACTACCAAAATCTTCAACCTGGGCAGTTGGAATGCTCTGGTGGAATGATTTTCCACTGCAGAATGCACATACAGTAAACTATTTGGTGAAGAGGTGTTGTGTTCTACCCAGCTCACACACCAGAGCTGCCAGGCTCTCAGTTCTAGTCTTCTTACCCTTCAATTCAGAACCCAATCTATTTCACAAATATTTGTGGGATGGAGGAAGGCATATTGAGCCCAACTGTTCCATTCTCTGCACAATTCTTGTTGCTACCATCTACGCTTCTCATATCACTAAGTGAGAAACTCATGGCCCAGATCTCACTGAAGTTACAAGGAGTTTTAATTGCCTTAAATAGATGGGTGTGAGGCTTGAATAGGAAAGAGAAAAAAACCACATGAATATGGTAATTCTAAGAGATGTTCACATGTTCTCTTACTGAGCAGATACTGTTTTCTATGCTGTTAGTAAAAGAACAGTTGTTACCTCCCATATAAAATGTACCTCTGTTGACTGATGCTACACTTCTGAAATTAAAGTTGGAAACACTTCATATCCTGAATTCCAGACTGAAAACAGACTATTATAACAATACTCAAGATCAAGAATTTTTATGAGTAACCTGGCAAAGGGCATATCATCCTTCTAAAAGTTGTGCCTGAACCAATATGCATGGTTCAAACACCTAAGTATTTAATGAGAATTTGGAGATGGATCCAGACTTCACATATGACTTGTAAAACTTTAGAACTCTCCACTGTCCAA